CTGAATGCGCGCACAGCTCTTGTCGCGCGTGCGCATTCAGCCAACGGGGAGGAGAAGAGGAGGATCGGAGGAGGAGAGCTCTCCGTCCAGCGCTGGAAAAAGGTAAGTTTAACCCCTTTTCCCCTTTCCAGAGCCGGGCGGGAGGGGGACCCTGAGGGTGGGGGCACCCTCAGGGCACTATAGTGGTCCTTTAATATATAACATCCTACATAGCACAATGACTTATGGGGCTGGCATAGATTTTTTTCCAGGGCTGCTTCGTATCCCCAGTCCGGCCCTGCTCACAAGTGATGAAACTCTGTGAAAATTAATCTAAGCAGTAGACCAACATGTTGTAAAGTGAATTATGTTTATGCCAAATCTATGTAGGAAAACAAGATATGCAACTGTAACAGTATGTGTCTGATGGTGATTTACAAATATTGGAATTTAATCTCAATACCATTCTTAAAGCAGAACTGTTACTATTCTGAAAAGTACATAATTTAATAAAACATTGAAAATCACCTCTAACTTTTTTCATGTGATGCTCTGTTTTCTTTTTGAATGTATTTTAAAGATTAGGCAAGTGACATCACAATCCAGTTCAGTCTAGGCACAGTCATGGTGCACAATGCAAATAAGGATGGGAACAGAAACATTGTTAGTTTCTCCTCTTCCACTATCTATATCCAATGACAGAGACAGGGCGGCAGGGCCGGACTGGCCCACCGGGATACCGGGAAATTTCCCGGTGGGCCGCGGCACCTGGGGCCGGTCTGACAGCCCTGATCATTGGGCTGACAGCTCCTGTGATCCCGGCGGCCGTGTGTGAGCTGTGCGGCCGCACAGAGCCCCATGGGAGCAGGGGAAGCCAGGCGGCCGGCTCACACATGGCGCCCGGGATCATTTAAAAAAATAAAAAAAATAAAAATATTTGCGGCGGGGGCGGAGCTTACTGTGCGGCGGGGGCGGGGCTTAGCTTGCGGCGGAGGCGGAGCTTACTGCGCGGCGGGGACGGCTAATTGCAGCATGGGAAGCAGGAAGGAGTCCCTGCTTCCCCAACAACCAGTCTCCAGGAGCTCCAAGCAGGAGGTAAGAAAGAGGTCAGTGTGTGTGTGTGACTGTCTGTGAGTGTGTGACTGTCTGTGAGTGTGTGTGTGTGTGACTGTGACTGTCTGTGAGTGTGTGACTGTCTGTGAGTGTGTGTGTGTGTGACTGTCTGTGAGTGTGTGACTGTCTGTGTGTGTGTGACTGTGACTGTCTGTGAGTGTGTGACTGTCTGTGTGTGTGTGTGACTGTCTGGGTGAGCAGACCAGGTGTGTGTGTGCGACTGCGGACTGTTCAGAGTGTGTGGACTGTCTGTGAGTGTGCGTGACTGTCTGTGTGTGCGTGTGTGACTGTGACCGTCTGTGAGTGTGCGGACTGTGTGTGTGTGTGACTGTGGACCGTCTGGGTGTGAGTGTGTGACTGTCTTCGTGAGTGTGTGTAACGTGGAGTGTGTGACTGTCTGTGAGTGTGTGACTGTCTGTGTGTGTGTGACTGTTAGTGTGTGTTTGTGTGTGACTGTCTGTGTGTGCGTGTGACTGTGCGTGTGACTGCCTGTGTGTGCGTGTGACTGCCTGTGTGTGTGTGTGACTGTCTATGTGTCTGTCTGCCTGTGTATATTACTGTCTGTGTGTGTGTGTGACTGTGTGTGTCTGTCTGTGTGACTGTGTGTGTGTGTGTGACTGTGTGTGTGTAACTGTCTGCCTGTGTGTGTGGCTGTCTGCATGTGTGTGTGTGTGTGTGACTGTCTGCCTGTCTGTATGTGTAGATGTTTGCCTCGGTGTCAGTGACTGTCTGCCTCTGTGTGTGTGTGCGCACCTGCTAGTGAGGGAGCCTCTGTGTGTGTGTGCTTGCTAGTGAGTGAGCTTGTATGTGTGTCAGTGAGCTTGTCTGTAGGGATCATATGTGTGTGTGTTAGTGAGCTCTTGTCTGTAAGGAGCATGGGTGTGATCGTGGGCTTGTCTGTAGTGAGCGTGTGTGTCAGTGAGCTTGTCTGTAGTAAGCCTGTGTGTCAGTGAACGTGTGTGTCAGTGAGCTTGTCTGTAGTGACCATATGTGTCAGTGAGCTTTTCTGTAGTGACCGTGTGTGTCAGTGAGCTTGTCTGTAGTGAGCATGTGTGTGTCAGTGAGCTTGTCTGTAGTGAATCTGTGTTAGTGAGCTCTTCTGTAGGGAGCATGTGTGTGTCAATGGGCTTGTCTGTAGGGAGAGTGTGTGCGCATCAGTGAGCTTGTCTGTAGTGAGCGTGTGTGTGACAGTGAGCTTGTCTGTAGTAAGCTTGTGTGTGTATCAGAGTTTGTCTGTACTAAATTTGTGTGTCTGCCAGTAACCTTGTCTGTGTGTGTCATTGAGATTGTCTGTCAATGAGCCTATTTGTATGCATCAGTAAGATTGTCTGTGTCTGTGTGTGAGTATGCTTTACTGTATAATTTAATTACCCTGAAAGGACTAATATTTTGAATTAGAAGAAGAAATGTATCAATAATATATATATATATATATATATATATATACACATTAAAGGTCCACTCTAGGCACCCAGAGCACTTCAGCTTAATGAAGTGATCTGGGTGCCTGGTCCAGCCATGGTTAACCCATTTTTTCATAAACATAGCAGTTTCAGAGTGCTATGTTTATTAATGGGTTAAGCCTTCCCCTATTTCCTCTAGTGGCTGTCTCATTGACAGCCACTAGAGGCGCTTGCGTGCTTCTCACTGTGATTTTCACAGTGAGAGCACGCCAGCGTCCATAGGAAAGCATTGATAATGATTACCTATGTGACCGGCTGAATGCGCGCGCAGCTCTTGCCGTGCGTGCGCATTCAGCCGACGGGGAGGAGAGAAGGAGGATCGGAGGAGGAGAGCTCCCCGCCCAGCGCTGGAAAAAGGTAAGTTTTTCCCCTTTCCCCCTTCCAGAGCCGGGCGGGAGGGGGACCCTGAGGGTGGGGGCACCCTCAGGGCACTATAGTGGTCCTTTAATATATAACATCCTACATAGCACAATGACTTATGGGGCTGGCATAGATTTTTTTCCAGGGCTGCTTCGTATCCCCAGTCCGGCCCTGGTGTTGGTTGGAAACTTGCATTTATTTATGTAAGGGTCTCCATGTCTTCCAGAGGATTCCATTTTAAAAACTTGGTTTCATATGCATATATTCAATGTGGTTTGTAATCCAAGTTGTTTCTGCTGTTAAGTATTCTACTGACAAAATGTACCTTTTATTTCTATAGAGCATCAATGACCTTGACTAATTATTCCATATCTCCAGTATTTACTTAACGCAAACATGATGCTTAAAATGTAGAACCCCTTAAGGATCAAGGCTTTTTTTTGGTGATGCAACGTGTTTGTGGCCAAGGCCTTTTTGGCACCTTTACCATGTGTTCTCCCACAATTTCCCCCTTTCTGTTTATATATTATATATTATTTGTTAAGGAGAAATAAGACTTAACTTTGATACCTTATATTTATACATCACAATTGTAAACAGGAATTAAATAGGAATAATTTCTACACATCAGAAAACTGGACTAATTACTGAATCTAGTTTTAGTTAGATTGTTAAAATGCCCTATATGTCTAGGATTTCACTTAATTTTTAAAACTAATATTGAAAGAGTAAATTACAATATTAAAGCTAAAACTTTGCACAATTTGACCTTCTGAGATTACAACTTTCATAGTAGTCACATAATTCAAAACTGGTACACAAGTATATTTGCAGAAAGTAGATCTATTAAACTATGTAACTGAGAACATTTTGACACTTTTTCATTTAACCATTTTATGCCAAACCTAGGTCAAATTGGTTAATTTTTTTAATCTAATTTTTATTGCACACTTTAGCACTATTGCAAACACCCTGCAAACACTACTGGTCTCTAGTACAATGATACCCCGCATGTATACCTTTTCCCGTAATCCTACCCATAATTCCAGTCCTTATCCTAGCCATAACCCAGTTGTAATCCTGTCCCCTAATCACACGTCTCTAGGGATTCCCTGTGAACCCTCTATACAGTGTGATTGGAGCGTGAGAGGGAGAGCTATTTCTCGTGCTGTAGCATACAGAGAATGGTGCTGGGCTGTTGGCAGAGCCCAGCATTGATCCTGCTGCATGGATAATTCAGTTAGACCTCCCAAGGTGCTGCTTATATGTCTTCTGTCCGTATTAACCCTAGCTGGTACCTTGACTGCATGAAGTCTATGCCATCACTTGGCATTAAAGCCCTGCACTGCTGGACAGCATAGACCTCATGTAGTAAAATTAAACCTACAAATAATGCAATCTGCAACATAGCATTTTAGTAACTGAAGGGAAAAATAAGCAAGTATGTAAATAATTGTTAAATTAATGAATCTAGAGAATATTTAAAAAATATATATTTTACAGATTTTTCACTGGCTATATTAAAAAAAAAAAAAAAAAAAAAAAA